ATACTTCTCAAAACTTTAGGCTAATAAGTTTGAGAACTTGACAGAAATGGACCTTTTCCTAGCAAATATTGACATGCCCAAACTAAGCCAAGATGAGTTAAACCATCTTAACAGGCCCATATCAAGCATTGAAATAGAAACAGCAATAAGAGACCTCCCAGCTAAGAAAAGTCCAGGACCAGATGGTTTTACAGCGGAATTTTACAAGGCCTTCAAAGCAGAGCTCACGCCAATACTCCTCCAACTCTTCAGTGAAATTGAAAGAGAAAGTTCACTACCGAACACATTCTATGAAGCCATCATAACCCTCATCCCAAAACCAGGCAGGGACTCATCAAAGAAAGAGAACTATAGACCCATTTCTTTGATGAACATTGATGCAAAACTTCTCAACAAAATTTTGGCCAATCGACTTCAACAATTCATCCAAAAAAATCATATACCACAATCAAACAGGATTCATTTCAGGGATGCAAAGCTGGTTCAATATATGCAAATCAATTAATATTATTCATCACATCAAGAGGAGCAAGAATAAGAACCACATGGTTATCTCAATAGATGCAGAAAAAGCATTCGACAAGATCCAACACCCCTTTATGATGAAGGTTTTGGAAAAATTAGGAATCCATGGAACATTCCTCAATACAATAAAGGCTGTATATATCAAACCTGCAGCCAGCATTATACTTAATGGTGAAAAACTAAAGCCATTTCCTCTTAACTCAGGAACAAGACAAGGATGTCCACTCTCTCCACTTCTCTTCAATCTAGTATTAGAATGCCTAGCTACAGCAATAAGACAAGACGCAGACATAAAGGGGATCCAAATAAGGAAAGAAGAAATAAAACTTTCCCTCTTTGCAGACGACATGATTTTGTATTTAAAGAATCCCATAGACTCTACTCCCAAATTACTCAAGCTGATTCAAAACTTTGGCAAAGTAGCAGAGTATAAAATTAATCCCCCAAAATCAATGGCTTTTCTGTATGCTAACAATGAGAAAAGTGTGGCTGAAATTAGGAAAGCAACTCCATTTGTAATAGCCCCACAAAAAATAAAATACCTAGGAATTAACTTAACCAAAGAAATGAAGGACCTCTATTATGAAAACTTAAAAATCTTGAAAAAGGAAATCAAAATAGAACTTAGAAAATGGCAAAACCTCCCATGCTCCTGGATTGGAAAGATTAACATCGTGAAAATGGCAATACTTCGCAAGGCTATCTACAAATTCAACGCGATACCTATCAAAATTCCAACCTCATTCTTCAAGGAAATAGAAGAGGCAATCCAAAAATTCATATGGAACAATAAAAGACCACGAATAGCAAAAACGCTCCTCAACGGAAAGAACACTGCTGGAGGAATATCAATACCAAATTTCAAACTCTACTATAAAGCCATAGTAATCAAAACAGCTTGGTATTGGCATAAGAACAGACCTCAGGACCAATGGAATAGAATTGAAAACCCAGAAATGAACCTACAGACCTATAGCCATCTAATCTTCAATAAGGGAGCTAAAACGATAGAATGGAAGAAAGACAGCCTCTTCAGTAAATGGTGCTGGCAAAATTGGTTAACTACTTGTAGAAAACTAAAGCTAGATCCTTATATATCACCCTGCACCAGAATCAACTCCAAATGGATCAAAGACCTGGAAGTCAAAGCAGACACTGAAAACATTACAGGATGGAATAGGAGAAACCCTAGGTCTCCTTGGCTCAGGCCGAAATTTTCTGAATAGAGACCCGGAAACACAACAAATCAAAGAAAGGTTGGACAAATGGGATTGCATGAAGTTGCAGAGCTTCTGCATGGCAAAGGACATAGCTAGCAAGATCAATAGAAAGCCCACGGATTGGGAGAAGATCTTCACTAGCCATACAACAGACAAGGGTCTCATATCTAAAATATACTTGGAACTCAAAAAATTAAATCCCCCAACAACAAATCCTCAAAGAAACAACTGCCCAATAAATAAGTGGGCTAAAGACTTAAAGAGAAACTTCTCTGAAGAAGAAAGAAGGATGGCCAATAGACACATGAAGAAATGCTCAACATCCCTACATAAAAGAAATGCAAATCAAAACAACATTGAGATACCACCTCACTCCAGTTAGAATGGCAAAAATCAAGAACTCTAACAACAGATGCTGGAGGGGATGTGGACAGAAGGGAACCTTACTTCATTGTTGGTGGGAATGTAAACTTGTTCAAACACTTTGGAAAGCAGTATGGAGGTTCCTCAAAAGACTTCACATAGAGCTCCCCTATGACCCAGCAATCCCACTTTTGGGCATTTACCCAAATGTTTACAAACAAGACCACACTAAAGCTACCAGCACAACTATGTTTATTGCAGCATTATTTACCATAGCTAAGATATGGAACCAACCCAGATGCCCCTCAGTAGATGAATGGATCAAGAAAATGTGGTATATATACACAATGGAATTCTATGCCTCCATCAGAAAGAATGACATTGCCCCATTTGTTAGGAAATGGAAAAACTTGGAAAAAATTATATTAAGTGAAGTAAGCCAGGCCCAAAGAAACATAGGTCCCATGGTTTCCCTTATTTGCAATATCTAGTATATGTATGAGTCAAGCGGAAAAGGTCAGATAATGTGATGTTAGGAAAATGAACCCTTAGATATGTATTTTAATGTTTTTTTCTTTCATGCATTTGTTTCTAACACATTTATAAGATTATTTCTTTGTTGCTTTGTAAGTCCCTCCCCCACAGTATAATCCCTGCTTTCACTATATTTGATGTCAGTTTAACTTGTGGAGGAGATGGGGAAAAACAAATCGTTTAAATAGGGATACAGGTGACCTGTTGCAACAATGAGAATACAAGTTGTCATGTCGAAAACGAGCTTTACAACGTTGGTGCGGGGGGGGGGGGGGGGGAGGGAGAGAGGATTGGGTGGGGGGGGTGAGGGGGGAGGCTGGGAAGGGATGTGAAGGGTAAACAAAGGAGGAGGCTGCAATGCTTGATAAGAAATGTATGCATTTTCCTGCCCATGTAATTGTAACAGCTCTGTACAGTATGTTCACAAAATAAAATGAAGAAAAAAAAAACTAGATCACACACACACACACACACACACACACACACACACACACACACACGGGATGTGATAAATGATATGGGACTCCAGACTTTCACTCACAATGAGATCAAAGATGAACACAAAGGCACAATGCCTACATGCTTCTGATCATATAAAATAATACCCAATGAGCTAGGTGTCAGTGGCTCATGCCTGTCATCCTAGCTACTCAGGAGGCTGAGATCTGAGATGGGGGTTTGAAGCCAGCCTGGGCAGAAAAGTCCCCTTGAGACTGCTATCTCCAATTAACCATTCAAAAAACCGGAAGTGTCACTGTGGCTTAAAGTGGTAATGCTCTAGCCTTGAGCAAAAGAGCTCAAAGTCATTGCCCAGGCCCTGAGTTCAAGCCCTATAACCACCAAAAAAGAAAGAAAGTAAGAAAGAAGGAAAGAGAGAAAGAAAGAAAGAAAGAAAAGAAAGAAAGGAAGAATGGAAGGAAGAAAGGAAGAAAGAAAAGAAAGAAATGTTCACAGTGCATTTAGTATGTTCCATGTTTTGTAAGAAGAGCAGGAATCCTTGTTTTGAGTCCTTTGAGGAAACTATCAGAATTAGGCTAATTTTGCTAACATGAAAGCTGATGGTGAGAGACAGAAGGTAATGATACATGGTGAGTGGCATTCCACTTTGATTTTTATTATTAATTGGTGTGTATGTGTGTGTGTGTGTCAGTCCTGGGGCTTGAACTCAGGTCCAGGACAATGTCCCTGAGGTGTTTTTTTTTTTCGGTCATGGGGCTTGAACTCTGGGCCTGGACACTCTCTCTCAGTTCTGCAGCTCAAGGCAAGCGCTTTACCACTTGATCCACAGCGCCACTTCCTGTCCCTGAGTTTTTTCACCTCCTCAGTAGCAAGGATTCCAGGATTGAGGCACTGGCACATGGCCCTTCCAACATTAATTTTTATCTTACCCCACATACACATGTGTTTTCTAGAAGCTCCAGAAGGTTCTTTTCTAGTGTTTCTCTGGCACCCGCCTGTCTGCATCCTTCCATCCTAATCAGGTTACCTTGTCTGTTCCATCTCTAATCTACCCCTTGGTCCCTGTATTTTTTCTCCTCCTATCTATTGCTCCATAAATCTGTCAAAAATATATTTATTAGAGATTCTTCTAATAAAAAGAATCTTTCCAACCAACTATGCATACTAACCTATCAATTATTTTTCATTCACTCATCAATCTATCATCTTATCTATTCTTTTACAAGCCTCTTCATCATTCATAAATCATAAATTCAAGCCCCAGGACTGACACACACACACACATACACACCAATTAATAATAAAAATCAAAGTGGAATGCCACTCACCATGTATCATTACCTTCTGTCTCTCACCATCAGCTTTCATGTTAGCAAAATTAGCCTAATTTTGATAGTTTCCTCAAAGGACTCAAAACAAGGATTCCTGCTCTTCTTACAAAACATGGAACATACTAAATGCACTGTGAACATTTCTTTCTTTTCTTTCTTCCTTTCTTCCTTCCATTCTTCCTTTCTTTCTTTTCTTTCTTTCTTTCTTTCTCTCTTTCCTTCTTTCTTTCATAAATCCATCCACCAATTTATCTGTCTATCCATCCATTTCTCCATTACCCATCCATTCATCCATCCATGCACCCATCCATCCATTGCACCCACCTGCCATTCCAGTCATAAACCCTTCCATTCATCAAATTACATTTCCAAAAAATTCACTAATATGGTTATTTCCACATGAGAGCTAATCTTAATGTTACCCCAATACCCATTGAGTGGAAAATTGGGGGAAGTTTCCCCCAGAGCAGAATTGAGACCTTTGCTAGTCCGTCTCCATGCTGACTACCACAGTGTTGACCACAGAGCAGAGCAGGATGGAGGGAAGATGATTCTGACATCATGGCAGGTTTGGCTATGGCCAATGGAGAACGATGGAAGGTCCTTCGCCGTTTTTCTCTGACTGTCCTTCGAAACTTTGGGATGGGAAAGCGGAGCATTGAGGAGCGGATTCAGGAAGAGGCTGGGTACCTACTAGAGGAATTCCGGAAGACAAAAGGCATGGAGGTTGGGGGGAGCTCCCCAATGGCTGCTAGGTGATGGGGTATCAGTGGAGGGAGAGTTCAATTATAAGAAGATGGGCCTTGGTGGCAGAAAACTGAAATGGGAGAAGATGGAAACTCTCCAGATTTACTGAGATTTCCAGCCAGGTTCCAGGTTAAAAAACTAACATGTGATATCCATAGGTCATTCCTGTAACCCTAGCTCCTAGGAGGCTCAGACCTTGAGGATCGTGGTTCAAAGCCAGTCCAGGTAGGAAAGTTTGTGAGACTCTTTGTCTCTCATTAACCACTAAAACCACAAGTGGAGCTGTGGCTCAAGTGATAGATCAGCAAACTTCACCCTGAGTTCAAGCCCAGTACCCACCAAAAAAAAGTCAACATGGAAGACCCTTAGAAACTACTTATCCAGAGCCCTTCCTCAATGGACTCCCAAAATCTGTATGTAGAGTTTTGGTGATAAGGGTGTAGCCAGGGCTGGTTTTATTCTCCCAGTTATTCTCAGCCTGCCCAGTGCTGGGTCTATACTCATGTACCACTATACCCAGCCCTCAGTGTGCTTACTGCACATCAGGAACTGAGTGAAGCCTTTTCTCATGACTCCATTACTGCTCGTGATCATCTCCAACATGAATGATTTCCACTTCCTCCCTTCCCCTCACTCCCCCCCTCCCAGGCACCCCAACTGATCCCACCTTCTTCCTGAGCCGCATGGTGTCCAATGTCATCAGTTCTGTGGTCTTCGGAAACCGCTTTGACTATGAAGACAAGCAGTTCCTGAGCCTTCTGGGGATGATTAATGAGAGTTTCATTGAGATGAGTGTGCCCTGGGCCCAGGTAACCATGGGGAGTCACTTTCCCTGCCCCTTCCCAGGGGTCCCCAACTCTGACATGCACCAGTGACTCATGCCTGTCATCCTAGCTACTCTCAGGAGGCTGAGATCTGAGGATCGTGGTTCAAAGCCAGTCTGGGCAGAAAAGTCCATGAGATTCTTATCTTCAATAAACCACTAGAAAATCGGAAGTGGCACTGAGGCTTAAGCAGTAGAGTGCTCGCCTTGAGCTGAAGAGTGCAGGGATAGTGCCTAGGCCCAGAGTTCAAACCCCACACCTGACAAAAAAGAAAAAAAGATAAAAGAAAATGAGAAGTGGCATTCTGGTTCAAAGTGGTAGAGAGCTAGTCTTGAGCACAAAGAGGCTCAGGGACAGTGCCCAGGCCCCGAATTCAAAACCCATGAATGACAAAAATCAATCAATCAATCAATCAATAAAGGTCACCCCAAATTCTCAACCCCAACTCTTTCCTGACCCCAGACTCAGGCCACCTGGTTGGTTCCCCTGGCCCCTGGACCCTATGGCCTACACATCTCTGTCACTTGTGTCCACAGCTGTATGACATGTATTCGGGAGTCATGCAGTATTTGCCCGGAAGACACAATCACATCTATGACTTGATAGAGGACCTTAAGGCCTTTGTAGCGTCCAGAGTCAAGGTCAATGAAGCCACACTTGACCTCCAAAACCCTCGAGATTTCATCGACTGCTTCCTTATAAAGATGCACCAGGTACAGGCTTCCCCCCGCCCCAGCCCTGTTCTTTCTCCTCAAAGTCCTGCTGGGGTCAGTTAATCCTTATGTGCATGTGGTGGAAGAAAAGAGGAAGTATTTCATACAGTTCACAGTGTGTGTTTGTGTGTGTGTGTGAACACATGCATGCACATGCGTGTACCCACCAGTACTGGGGCTTGAACTCAGGGCCTGGGTGCTATCCCTGAGCTTTTTCCTTCAAGGCTAGTGCTCTACCACTTGATCCACAGCTCCACTTCTGGCTTTTTTGGTGGCTCAGTAGAGATAATAGTCTCATGGATTTTCCTGACTAGACTGGCCTTGAACCTTGACCCTCAGATCTCAGCCTCCTGAATATCTAAGATAACAGGTGCAAGCCACTAGCGCCCAGCTAGAAATTTGCATCTTTGCATTGCAACATTTTCATGATAGAGTATTAGCCTTGAGCACAGAGAGGCTCAGGGACAGAGCCCAGGCTCTGAATTTCAGCCCCAGGGTTGACAAAAACAAAACAAAACAGAAAGGAAGTTTTAATGACACTCTGCTTTCTTCTCCCAGTTCTCTCTTTCCCCCTCTTCCCCACCTCCTCCTCACCCACCCTGTGTCTGCCTTACTATTTTTCTAATACATCAGATTCACTCCTGCTTCTGGACTTTGTTTACCCATATGTTATATTTTGGAAAACAATTGCCTTTCTGGGCACCAGTGGCTCATGCCTGTATTCTTAGGCATTCAGGAGGCTGAGATCTGAGGATCATGGTTCAAAGCCAGCCCAGGCAGGAAAGTACATAGTAGACTCATCTCCGATGAACCACCAAAATAAAATCTGGAAGTGGTGCTGTGGCTCAGGTGGTAGAGGGCTGGCCTTGAGCAAAACAGCAAAGGGACAGCACCCAGGCCCTGAGTTCAAGCCCCAGGACTGATACACACACACACACACACACACACACACACACACACACACACACACACACACAAATCTGCCTTGTACATGGGTGGAGGGGAACCCCAATAACACAGAGACAGAAGAAGGTAATCCTATTCACGATCTCCTTCTCTCCCAGGATAAAAAGGATCCACACACAGAATTCAACCTCAGGAATTTGGTGCTCACCACCCTCAATCTCTTCTTTGCTGCCACAGAAACAGTGAGCTTGACCCTACGCTATGGAATGTTGCTCTTAATGAAATATCCTCATGTAGAAGGTGAGCTGAGCTGGCATCTCCCACTCCTCTAATAGGAAGGAAGGAAGATACCATCTTGAAAGGGCAAGATATACCAGGCACTGGTGGTTCATACCTGTCATCCTAGCTACTCACGAGGCTGAGATCCAATGATCATGGTTCAAAGCCAGCCTGGGCAGAAAAGTCTGTGAGACTCTTATCTCAATGAACCAGCAAAAATGCTAGAAGTGAAGCTGTGGGTCAAGTGGTAGAGCTCTAGCTTTGAGTGGAAAAGCTCAGGGACTGTGACCAGGCCCTGAGTTCAAGCCCCAGTACCAACACAAAAAAACAACAAAATAAAACAAACAAAGCACACAAGGCTTTTACCTCCAGAGGTGAACAATAATTTGTAATGGAGATAAAGTAATCTCTCCCTCTAAGGATCTATAACTCTATGGTATTTGCAAAATCCAGACCAGCATCTGCCTTAGCTACTCTGACAGAAACACCTGCTACCCTTTCTTGCCTTCTTTTGCTCAAGGCTAGCACTCTACCACTTGAGCCACATCACCATTTCCAGCCTTTACTGTTTATGTGGTACCCAGGGCTTCATGCAGGCTAGGCAAGCACTCTACCCCTAAGCCATATTCCCAGCCCTTTCCTGCCTTCTTTTGTGAAATGTCTTCCTGGATTCTTCCAGCCAAGGTCCAGGAAGAGATTATCCAGGTGATTGGACCACACTGTATTCCCACAGTGGATGACCGCATCAAGATGCCCTACTCGGATGCCGTAATCCATGAGATCCAGAGACTGACAGACATCGTGCCCCTGGGAGTCCCCCATACTGTCATCCGGGACACTCACTTCCGAGGCTACTTTCTGCCCAAGGTGATAGTTTTCACTGTCATCTCTTTATCTCCTCCACTCCCCCCCCCCTCTCTCACACACACAATGCTCCTTATTCAACACTGACTTTTTCTTAATTCCCTCCATCTTCTCACCAGGGCACAGATGTCTATCCACTACTTGGCTCTGTCCTCAGAGACCCCAAATACTTCCAACACCCAAATGACTTTTATCCTCAGCACTTCCTGGATGAACAGGGACTCTTCAAGAAGAATGATGCCTTTGTGGCTTTTTCTTCTGGTGAGTTCCCATGGTCTATGAAACTCCCCCCAATAAGGACTAGAGCCATCTCTTCAAGTCCACATCAGAATGGAATGCAAAGGGCTATGTCACAGAATCATTAAATCCTAGAATCCCAGAATCAAAAATCTGAATGACTGACTCCATGATTAGGGGAAAAATGGTAGCTCTGGGCATGGTGGTACATGCTTGTAATCCCAGCATTTGAATAGTTGAGGCAAGAAGATGGAGAGTTCCACTTTAGAACAACAGTACCACTGGACAAGGCCTCAACAGATTTCTTTCCATTAAGAAACAAATTTAACACGGGTGCTGGTGGCTCAAGCCTGTCATCCTAGCTACTCAAGAGGCTGAGATCTGAGGCTCACAGTTCAAAGCTAGCCCAAGCATAAAAATCCATTATACTCTTATCTCCAATAATCCACCAAAAAGCCGAAGTGGTAGAGTGCTAGTACTCTATCACTCTATTCAAGCGGTAGAATGTTAGCCTCAAGGTGTGTGTGGGGAGTTCAAGACCCAGGACTGGCACCAAAGGAAAAGAAAAAAAAATCCCTAGACCCTGTTCAACCCTCCCATCTCTTCTGTACCCTTAGGAAAGCGGATCTGCGTTGGGGAGGCCCTGGCCCGCATGGAACTCTTCCTCTACTTCACCTCCATCTTCAGAACTTCTCCTTAAGCTCACTGGTGCCACCTGCTGACATTGACATCACTCCCAGAATTTCAGGCTTTTGCAACATTCCCCAGTTTATAACCTCTGCCTGGTGGCCCACTGAGTGCCCCCTCTTGGGCCAATAAGAACCTTCCTGTTGCACAGAGTCCATGTCTCCTCCTTCTCCTCTTCATCCACCAATAAAGAACCTCCTCTTTGTACTAGCCCCATCTCACCTCCTCTTCCTCTTCCTCCTCTTCCTTCTGCTCGTCTTCCTCTTCTCAATATCACACTAAGAGTTGGCACTCACCGGGCGCTGGTGGCTCACGCCTGTAATCCTAGCTACTCAGGAGGCTGAGATCTGAGAATCGCGGTTCAAAGCCAGCCCGGGCAGGAGAGACCGTGAGACTCCTATCTCCAATAAACCACCATAAAACCGGAAGTGGCGCTGTAGCTCAAGTGGTAGAGCGCTGGCCTTGAGCTGAAGAGCTGAGGGACAGCGCCCAGGCCCAGAGTTCAAGCCCCACGACCAACAACAAAAAAAAAAAGAGTTGGCACTCTCCCTATTTTCCCTCAGGCTTAAGGTCAGGAAGTGTCATCTACAAACACACAGCTGGATATTTTATTCAGGAGGAGAAAACGTTAAAAAAAATCTATGGCCTGTCCAAGATTTTGTGAGTTAACACAAACTCCATACCTTTCTTGCCTCAAGGTCTGCCTACACCAAACTCTGGTACTTTTTTTTCTCTACATCTTTATGTTGTCTCTTTATTTTCCTTTTCTTTTCTGCCATGGATGTTACCAAAATGTAGTCCCTAATCCATTTCTCCTGTATTTCCATTTTCCTTCTCCCTCCTCCCTCAATAAAGTCAACACCAAACTCAAGACTGTTAAATGTAAGCAAGTTTATTGTGCATCATGTAAACACTCAGATTAACTATGCTAACAACTTGAAATTGGGATAGGAAAATGAAGAGCACGAGGAAGGGGGAGAGTAAAAAAAAAAAGTAAAATATAGAGACAAGAGCTCTGGGCTCACAAGAAAACCCCAACAAGAACTGAAAATGACCCTATGAAGGTCCTGGACCTTCAAAAAAACCTAGGTGAAAATGTCACTAACAGCCAGGTGCTGGTGGCTCATGCTTGTAGTTCAGCTACTCAGGAGGCTGAGATCTGAGACTCATGGTTCAAAGTCATTCCAAGCAGGAAAGTCCATGAGGGTCTTATCTCAACTAAAGCACTGAAAAGCTTGAAATGGAGCTTTGGCTCAAATGGTAGAGTGCCAATCTTCAGCACAAAAGCTCAGGGACCGTGCCCAGGCCCTGAGTTCAAGCCCTAGGACCTCAGGGACAGTGTGTAGGTCCTGAATTCAAGCCCCAAACTGGCACACACACACACACACACACACACACACACACACACACACACAAATGACACTAACAATATCATCACGCTTGATCTTTATTTTCACCCTTCTGCAGTGTGTGTGTGTGTGTGTGTGTGTGTGTGTGTGTGTGTGTGTGGGTGGGTGTATTTGTGTGTCCTGGGGCTTCAACTCAGGGCCTGGGCACTATCCTTTTCCCTTTTGTGCCCACAGCTAGCCCCTACTACTTGAGCCACACCTTCACTTCCAGCTTTTTGGTGGTTCATTGGGGATAAGAATCTCAGGGGGCCCAAAGAAACATAGGTCCCATGGTTTCCCTTATTTGCAATATCTAGTATAGGTATGAGTCAAGCGGAAAAGGTCAGATAATGTGATGTTAGGAAAACGAACCCTCAAATATGTATTTTAATGTTTTTGTTTCTTTCATGCATGTGTTTCTAACACATTTATAAGATTATTTCTTTGTTGCTTCGTATGTCCCTCCCCCACAGCGTAACCCCCGCTTTCACTATATTTGATGTCAGTATAACATGTGGAGGAGATGGGGACAAAAAAGTCGTTTAAGAATTCAGGTGGACCTGTTGCAACAATGAGAAGTACAAAATGTCATGTCAAAACCAGCTTTACAATGTTGGTGATGGGGGGTGAGGAGGGGGTATGATTGGGTTGGGGGGGAGGGGGGAGGCTGGGAAGGGAGGTGAAGGGTAAACAAAGGAGGAGGCTGCAATGCTTGGTAAGAAATGTATGCATTATCCTGCCCATGTAATTGTAACCCCTCTGTACAGTATGTTCTCAAATAAAATAAAATAAAACTTAAAAAAAAAAAAAAGAATCTCAGGGGGTTTCTTGTCCAGCTTGGCTTCATCAAACTGGGACATTCAGAACTCAGCTTCCTGAGTAGCTAGGATTATGGGTGTGAGTTACCAGTATTGGCCTATTGGCTTTTTATTCTTTTATATTTTTTGAAAGCTTACTTTAGTATTTACTAAGAGTACAAGAAAGGGGGCAATTCATATGAAAAGTCCATGGCTGGGCTGGGAATGTGGCTTAGTGGTAGAGTGCTTGCCTAGCATGCATGAAGCCCTGGGTTCGATTCCTCAGTACCACATGAACAGAAAAAGCTGGAAGTGGGCCTGTGGCTCAAGTGGTTGAGTGCTAGCCTTGAGCAAAAGAAGCTCAGGGACAGTGCCCAGGCCCTGACTTTGAGCCCTAGGACTGGCAAAAAGAATAAAGAAAAAAAATAGAAAGGTCCATGGCTGCATATGTCTTTCGATGAGGAAATCTTCCAGGCTGGGTAGTAACTGTGGTTTCAAATCTGTGTTGGGCCAAGGTTAGATGCTGGGCTCTGAGCTTGGCCTGAGGTCTCTGGGGTTGATACTGGGCCCCATCAGAGTGGGAAGGGCAGAAACTTTGCTTGGCCCATATGCATGGAATCTGCCCATCTGCTTGCTTCTGGGCCTAGGAGACAGGCTTTAGAAGAACACAGGTCTGGTGGAGCTATTGGTTGGCGGCTGGGGATGAGTAGGATGTGGATGTTGGCTCAGGACTTCCATGAATAACTGCCTGTCTGCACAGAGCTGACTCCAAAAAGAGCGAGCATCAAGGCTTATTTGGATCATCTGTGGGCTGCTGAGGTGGGGTAGGGCCCCATACTCCTTCTGCAAGCGAATCATTTGTGTGTAATTTCTGGGCAGGAACCATTCTGGTAGCTACATGTATTACTTATCCAAACAACCAGACAGAGGAAAAAAAAAAGAAACAAAAGACACTGACTTTCTTCTCTTCCTTGGTTTTCTCATTCATGACATTTCGCCAATCTTACTCCCTGCTCCAAACTCTCAGAAAGAAAGCACCCCACCCAAACGCTCAGAAACACAAATATTTTCAATATTCTGGTCACAACCTCTTAATCCCCAGCCTCACTTTCCTCTTCTCAGGCCTGGTTGGCCTGGCACTACCTGATTGACTGGATCTTTGGTTAAGATTGCAGAGAACATAAACAGTAGGTGGAAGATCAATCTCTTTCCTCTTAAGAGACACGTGCGTGCATGCGTGCACTAAATCTGGGGCTTGAAGTAGGGGCTTGGCACTGTCCCTGAATTTTTGTGTTCAAGACTGATGCTCTACCACTAGAACCACAGCTACACTTCTGACTTGATAGATAAGGATCTCAACAAAATTTCTTGCCTGGCTGGCTTTGAACCATGATCCTCAGATCTCAGCCTCCCGAGGAGCTTGGATTATAGGCGTGAGCCATTGATGCCCAACCTTAAGAAACTTTTGAAAATCTTTTTTTTTTAGGGCTGAGGACTGAACTCAGGGTCTTTTCACTTGTCAGTCAGTGCTCTTCCACTGAGCTAAATCCCCACTTTCAGGTTTACAAGGATTTCCCCCCCCCCCCCCCCCCCCAAGAACTACAGGCAATAAAGTAACAAAAATAGAAAAGAAAACCAGGCATGGGTTTTATTTTAGACACTACGTAGAAAATGAACTGTGCAATTTGTGGGGCAGGAACTAGAACGGAGAACTAGAGGAAAGCGAAGGAAGAGTAACATTGTCCCAAACCACAAAGATAATCATTACCTGACTTATGGAAAGGTGACCCCCTGTACAACACCTTCATAATATCAACAAAATCATATTAACAATAAATGAGAAGTCCTCATCTTCCAACTCTTTTAGCATCTGCCTAATTTTCCTTCCCTACTCTCACATGAGTTTAGGAAAGTGGCGGAGGTGTCTGGGGTTTTCCCCTGGTTTAATGTTTTTATTCACAGCTTATTCAGGGCCATCTCCTGGTGTTTCATACAGAAAAACAAGCAAGGCTGGGTGATCAGGAGTGGTAGGTAAGGACATGGAATGTAGCAGGGTACCAGTGCTCATGCCTGTAATACTCTTTCCTCACGAGGCTGAGATCTGAGGATCTCAGTTGAAAGCCAACCTAGGCAATCCAAGAGACTGACTCTGATTTCTAATTAGCCACCAAAGTGTTCAAAGCAGAGGTGTAGCTCAAGGGGTAGAGAACCAGCTTTGGGGTACAGGGAAGAGAGGGAAGCTCAGGGAGAGTGCCCATGCTCTGAGTTCAAGCCCCTAGGACCCGTGAACTCAAAATAAATAAGCCAGGCACTGGTGGCTCCTACTCAGGAGCCTGAGATCTGAGGATCACAGTTCAAAGCCAGAATGGGCAGAAAACTGCTCACCCAGACTCTCATGTCCTATGAACCACTCGCAAACTGGAAATGGAGCTGTGGCTCAGAATGGTAAGAGTGCTAGCCCTGAGCACAAAGAGCTCAGTGCCTAGGCCCTGAGTTCAAACCCCAGGACCAAATACCTAGATAGATAGATAGATAGATAGGTAGACAGACAGACAGATAGATAGAAAACAAAATAAAATAATACAGGGGCTGGGAAGGTGGCTCAAGTGGTAGAGCGCTAGCATTGAGCTGAAGAGCTGAGGGACAGCGCCCAGGCCCAGAGTTCAGGCCCCACAACCGCACCCCACCCCAAAATAAAATAAATAAAACAAAACAAAGAAGTATGGAAATTCTTTAGCAAATGGCATAAAGCTGCCTGGGACTTGGCTTCTGTCAAAGGCCATAACCAGGCTTGGAGCTGCACGGTCTGATTGCGCTCAGCCATGCAC